AAGGAAGGAAGGAAGGAAGGAAGGAAGGAAGGAAGGAAGGAAGGAAGATTATATCAGAGAATGGCATCTTAGTCATGTCTGGCTCTGCCCTCGCCAACTGCTAGCTTGTAACCACTGAGTAACTGCCAACTAACTACTCCTGGGGAAAAGAGGCCCTTAAAAAGGAAAACCAAAAAAATGCTCTCCAACTTTGAAGACTGATTGAATAGTAGACAGCAGATCCTGAAGCTCTGTTATATACTTGATTATTATTCTAATACAGTGTTGATGGTCTTCTTGACTCTTATAAGCAAAACAGAAGACATTAAAATAATGCTGTTCCATAGGGCCTTTGGGGAGGAAAACCCTATTTCTACAAGGAGTTGCAATGGTTAAGAGTTGTTTTAGTTGCCTATTTTCTGTTTGTAACAGTGTACACCATCTCAGATGCAAGGAACAGGCAGCAGGCTAGATAATGCCCATGCTAGATAATGAATAAATTATACTCACAAATATATTTGCTTGCTTGAGCTCCACAAACTCTCTTTCCAATAGTAAGAAAGCTCTTGAATGCAACATTATTCTCAGGAGCCTCTATTCTTCTCTTGTAGTTTTACCCAGAAGACAATTTTGCATTCAACTTGAGCCAGCAAAATGAATAGGTAATTGGAGGAAAAGTGGCAAGAAAAAAATACTAGAGGATTTTTCCTTTTTCATGTGGAACTGAAATGAATTTGAGCTTAACAGCAAACACCTTGCCAACAAGGCCTGAGGCTCACCGAAAACAAAATCCTCTATACTTCTATTAGATAATTATATTTGCAGGAGTAGGCAAAAAATATCTTCATCCCTTGCTTTTCATAGCTGAACTGCTACAAGCATCGCCTTTGTGGGAAGCATGGAGAAGCAGAGAATGAAGCAGGCCAGGCTTTGTGTACAGAGAAGGTAACCAAGCAACCAGTTTTTCTTTCCTCAAGGGAGGCAGTTCCCTATCTTAACATTCTTCTGCTTTTTCAACCAATCGGCATCGGTTTTGCTTTCACCCTTGTGTTGAACACCAATCTTGTCAGCCCATTCAAACATTGAAACTGAAACCCAGGAAATACTCAGAGATGCCAGTCAAAGCCAGGGTGGGCTTACTTTTCTGTCAAGGAGTGCATCTCATCTGAATAGCACTTGGGAATAAGATAATTACAGGAGAAAAAATTCTCACATTGCTGTCCTGGTGACGGATGCAAATTTGGTCCGTGGAAGAAGTTTACAGAAGGGGCTGCTGGTCACCATCAGCAAATTGGCTAAAGGGAAGCCAGATGTAACCTTGAGATGTCCATAATACTTATTAAACGAAGAAATAACCATTTAATGTTTTAATCACTGCATAAGATGTATATATGATTCCCCCCCCCCCCCCAGATTAGAGGACTTTGTGCTTTCTGAGCACTCCTTGGAAAGATTCTGGATAATAAACTTGTATTTTATTCTAGAAAAAGTCTCTAAATCTAAAAAAGATCCAAATTATACAAGAGCTTGCTCTTCCCGAGACTATCATCTGTGAGCTGTCCTTTAAACATCTCAATCCACTTCTTACTTTGCTATCATGCCCCTGACTATGATATAATTCATGCAAACATGCTAACTTCACTACTGACATGGGCTGCCTCCTGCCCATACCCTCTCATTTTTCTTGGTGACCTCAACTTACCTCTTATAAATTGGACACTAAATGAATGTACATCTGAACCCATTCATACAACCCTGTACAATGCCGTTACCACACTAGGACTGGAACAACTAGTAACCAATAATACTAGACTTAACAACTGCTCGATCTCATCTTCTGTAACAGTTTGAATTCAATTTATGGAATACAAATTAATGAACCTTTTTCCAACAATGATCACAGCATGATTGACTTTTGTCTCAACACATGCCCTCACAAAAATCACCATAACGACAAGATCCCCAATTATAACTTCAAAAAAGGCAATTATGATCTTATAGACAACGAACTCTCATCTCTTGATTGGCAAATTCTATTCACTGGATGCAATACTGTTGAAGACCATTACAACATATTTTTACTTGAAGTCAAAAGAGTCATCAAACTATATGTACCAATAACAACTCCCAAAACCAGGAAAAAAAAATTACCCATACTAATAAGGAAGCTCCAATCCAAAAAGAAATCCCTTTGGCAGAAAAACAAATCTGGTCACGTTGCCAACTTTAAAAGCTGATATAAACATTTATGCCACCAGATAAAGACTGAATGTACCAATTATCACACTAAACAATGATGACACCATTAAAGCCAACCTCTTTAACACATTCTTTGGCTCAGTATTTGTAAACAGCAATGGATCATGCCCAATATTTCCTAGTCGAACCACAGACAACTACAATGATCTAATACATATCGATTTTACAGAAGACAATGTTGAAAAAGCACTATGCAATCTAAAACCATCTTTATCTATTGGATCGGACAGAGTTTGTGCCTATTTGTTAAAAAAAGCTACCCACTCCCATAGCTGAACCTCTAACCATAATCTTTGAAAAATCTTTCAGGACCAGCTCCTTGCCAAATCTATGGTCACTAGCCACAGTCATTCCCATCTTCAAAAAGGGAGACCCCAGCCTAGTTGAAAATTACAGACCAATCTCTTTATGCTGCGTCACCTGTAAAGTCATGGAATCAATTATTAACCAATCTATTATCCTCCACTTAGAGACAAACAACCTACTGTCTAACAAGCAGTTTGGTTTCAGAAGGAAACTGTCCTGTAATCTGCAACTCTTGCACTGTAAAAACATATTGATCAGGGCAAAGCAATTGACGCAATTTACATAGACTTCTGTAAAGCCTTTGATTCAGTGGTACACGACAAACTACTCCTAAAACTAAGGTCTTATGGTATCTCTGGATATCTGCATAACTGGATAGAAGCATTCCTGTCAAACAAAGAACAAATGGTCAAAATTGGGAGTGTCCTATCAAATCCTGTACCTGTCAAAAGTGGTGTCTCCCAAGGCAGTGTTCTAGGACCAACTCTCTTCATACTCTATATTAATGACCTCTGTGGTTATATTAAGAGCAACTGCGTTCTTTTCACTGATGATGTAAAGCTATTCAACACCACTGACAATGCTGCTACCCTTTAAAAAGACCTTGACTATGTGTCAGAATGGTCAAACAAATGGCAACTTCGAATCTCAACAAATAAATGCTCTATCTTATATATTGGCAAAAAAATCAAAAAATAAAGTACAAGCTGAATAGTCAAGACCTTGTTGATGACAAAAACTTTGTCAAGGACCTTGGAGTACTCATCTCAAATGATCTAAGTGCTAGAACCCACTGTAACTACATAGCCAAAAAGGCATTAAGAGTTGTTAACCTAATCCTGCGTAGCTTTTTCTCCGGTAATATCACTCTACTAAATAGAGCATATAAAACATTTGCTAGACCAATACTTGAATACAGCTCATCAGTCTGGAAACCGCATTACATACCTGATATTAATACAATTGAGAAAGTCCAGAAATATTTTACGAGAAGAACCCTCTACTCCTCTACTCGTAGCAGAACACCTTATGCCACCAGACTTGAAATTTTAGACCTAGACAACCTAGAACGATGCCGCCTTCGGTTTGATCTAAGTATGGTACATAAAATTATATATTGCAATGTCCTACCTATCAATGAATACTTCAGCTTCAATCAAAACAATACAAGAGCCCAAAATAGATACAAGCTAAAGATAAACTGCACCAAACTTGATTGCAGGAAATACGACTTTAGCAACAGAGTAGTCAATCTCTGGAATACTCTACCTGACTCTGTGGTTTCTTCCCCAAACCCCAAAATCTTCAACATTAGACTGTCTACTATTGACCTCACCCCTTTCCTAAGAGGTCTGCAGGGGGCATGCATAAGCGCACCAAAACGTGCCTACCATCCCTGTCCTAATGTTTTTTTTTTCTTATTCGTATCCATTTCATGTACACTGCTCAAAAAAATAAAGGGAACACAAAAATAAGACATCCTAGATCTGAATGAATGAAATATTCTTATTAAATACTTTGTTCATTACATAGTTGAACGTGCTGACAACAAAATCACACAAAAATTATCAATGGAAATCAAATTTAGCAACCCATGGAGGTCTGGATGTGGAGTTACACTCAAAATTAAAGTGGAAAAAAACACTATAGGCTGATCCAACTTTGATGTCATGTCCTTAAAACAAGTCAAAATGAGGCTCAGTAGTGTGTGTGGCCTCCACATGCCTGTATGACCTCCCTACAATGCCTGGGCATCTTCCTGATGAGGTGGCGGAAGGTCTCCTGAGGGATCTCCTCCCACACCTGGACTAAAGCATCCCCCAACTCCTGGACAGTCTGTGGTGCAATGTGGCGTTGGTGGATGGAGCGAGACATGATGTCCCAGATGTGCTCAATTGGATTCAGGTCTGGGGAATGGGCGGGCCAGTCCATAGCATCAATGCCTTCGTCTTGCAGGAACTGCTGACACACTCCAGCCACATGAGGTCTAGCATTGTCTTGCATTAGGAGAAACCCAGGGCCAACCGCACCAGCATATGGTCTCACAAGGGGTCTGAGGATCTCATCTCGGTACCTAATGGCAGTCAGGCTACTTCTGGCAAGCACATGGAGGGCTGTGGAGCCCGCTAAAAAAATGCCACCCCACACGATTACTGACCCACTGCCAAACCGGTCATGCTGGAGGATGTTGCAGGCAGCAGAATGTTCTCCACTGCATCTCCAGACCCTGTCACATCTGTCACATGTGCTCAGTGTGAACCTGCTTTCATCTGTGAAGAGCACAGGGTGCCAGTGGCGAATTTGCCTATCTTGGTGTTCTCTGGCAAATGCCAAACGTCCTGCACGGTGTTGGGCTGTAAGCACAACCCCCACCTGTGGACGTCGGGCCCTCATACCACCCTCATGGAGTCTGTTTCTGACCGTTTGAGCAGCCACATGCACATTTGTGGCCTGCTGGAGGTCATTTTGCAGGGCTCTGGCAGTGCTCCTCCTGTCCCTCCTTGCACAAAGGCGGAGGTAGCGGTCCTGATGCTGGGTTGTTGCCCTCCTACGGCCTCCTCCACATCTCCTGATGTACTGGCCTGTCTCCTGGTAGCGCCTCCATGCTCTGGACACTACGCTGACAGACACAGCAAACCTTCTTGCCACAGCTCGCATTGATGTGCCATCCTGGATGAGCTGCACTACCTGAGCCACTTGTGTGGGTTGTAGACTCCATCTCATGCTACCACTAGAGTGAAAGCACCGCCAGCATTCAAAAGTGACCAAAACCATCAGCCAGAAAGCACAGGAATTGAGAAGTGGTCTGTGGTCACCACCTGCAAAACCACTAACCCTAACCCTTTATTGTGGATGTCTTGCTAACTGCCTATGCTTTCCACCTGTTGTCTATTCCATTTGCACAACAGCATGTGAAATTGATTGTTTATCAGTGTTGCTACCTAAGTTGCAGACACACATAAAGACTGAACTATGCACCCTGACTAAAGTACTGACAGCCAACAGCCTCTACA